TTTGTAACTCTAATGAAGTTGAAATTAAGCATGTTTGTCTCGTTGGTTTGAATTTGATTATCATTTTTTACTATTAACATATTTTTAATTAAATAAATAAAACCTTCTTTTAAGGATTATCAATGGAAGTAATTATAGGATGTATAATGGACTATCCAATTCATATTAGCGATGAAAATTAAATATTTTATTATGTAATTTACTTAATAATTTTTATTAAAACTATTATCTTAACTTTTACATAATTTCTTATTGTTTATTCTACATGTTACATTTTTTAAAAATTATAATTAAATAAAAAATATCGCTTATATTTTTATTTATGCGTATTAAAAAATGAACAGACAACAATGATCGGTCCAAACGGTATTTATTATTATATTTGTGGGAATTTCGACAATAGAAATTTATCTTGAAAATATGAATGTGGAACAATTTATTTTATGAGATGGAATTTTTGAATTTTAAAAAAATTCTTTTTAAGGTTTTAATCGTGAAAATAGGAACTTATTCATGAAAATAGTGGAATGGTTTTTTTATGTGACAACTTAATTAATATAATTGGTGAAAATTTGAATTTTTTAATTAATTAATTAACTATTTTATATTTTATATTTTTCAAACTTGGGAAATCAAAAATTAGGAAGGTGGAAGAAATTTTGTGATTTTTTTATTTATTTATTAACATTTTAATGAATTAATAATTTTTATTTTGAATATAATTTTTTTTTATTAATTCAAAAAAACCGTAGTTACAAACTATCCTAGTAGAATCCATCAATAAACAATTCAAGGACGACTAATAGAAAACAAAAAATTATCAATAAAAGTAAAACTATCATCTTTCTATAATTAGAATAGCAATATACTCCATAATCTTCTTGTTATTCCACCTTGTACAAACAAATATGTTTATAATTTTTCTTCCTATATTTGTGTTATCCACATTCTTTCTAAAACTTGTTATTTCTCATATTTCATATACAATATTTATGATTGTCATTTTGAGGACAACAGCTTTTACACTTTTTTTTTCCTTCGTGTATTGGGTTATTCATTTATCTCTTCATGTTAATCTCCTTGACAATGAGGAATTTGAATCCACCCTAAAATTTCTATCCAAATTTTCTTTGTAGTTAAGCATTCAATGAATTAATAATTATTTATTATTATTGTATTGATTTTTATGAATTATTAATTGATTAATTATTATTATTGTATTGGTGGGAATTGTGACAATAGGGACTTATCATAAAAATAGGAACGTGTCTTTATGGATTGAAATTTTGGGATTTTTTAAAATAGTTTTTAATAAATTATTAATATTTATTATTATTTATTGGTTTTTATGAATTATACTTTTTTTATGGGATGAAATTTTTTGATTTTTTAAAAGGGTAATGCTAAGTGTGTCCTAAGGACATATGTTAAGAAATTCATAAATAAAAAATTTGTATTGGAAAAAGTAATAAAAGAATTAATTATAAACTTTTGATAAAAACAATACACAAGTTTTAAGAAAACATTTCTATATTTAGTTCTTAACATGTACTCCTAAGGTACAATTTAGCGTTGCTCTTTTAAAAAATATATTTTAATAACTTATTAATTATTTATTATTATTGTATTAGTTTTATGAATTATAATTAATTATTTATTATTATTGTATTGGTGAGAATTTTGGCGGAAAATTTTGGTAAGAAAGTTATAAAATTATAATTTAGTATATTGTGTTGATTTTTATAAATTATTAAATAATTAATTATTATTATTGTATTGGTGTCAACTGTGACAATACTAACTTATCATAAAAATAAGAATCGGAATGGAATTTTGGAATTTTTTTAAAGTAGGTTTTATTAATTGATCATTTATTATTATCGTATTGGTGGGAATTGTGACAATAGGAACTTATCATATAAATAGGGAGAGGAATGGAATTTTGGGTTTTTTTAAAATAGGTTTTAATAAATTATTAATTGTTTATTATTATTGTATTGGTTTTTATGAATTATACGGTTTTTTATGGATATAATTTTGGGATTTTTTAAAAATAGGTTTTAATAAATTATTAATTATTATTGTATTGGTTTTTATAAATTATTAATTAATTATTTATTATTATTGCATTGGCGGGAAGTTTTGGTAGGAAAAATTATAAGATTATAATTCAGTATGATACGATAATGACCCGATATCTCTTGTCGCTATGCGAAAAATGCACAGAGTTACACCGAATTTTATTTATTTTGAAGAAAGGGAAAATATCGATAATTGAAGAATATGGTCTTGCGAGTTCGGAAGTTGATTATGCAAAGGAAAAATATTAATACCCCTTACATCCATCGTACTCGATGGAAATCATTTAGGTTGTCTAAGCGCGGATGAGTGTCGTTTATTTAAAGGTTATTTGCTAATGGAAAAAAAAGTTTTAAGATAGTGTGCTCGCCAAGGACGAGAGCTCTCGTACCTACGTATCCTCATTGTGAATAAGGAATCAGAGCTCCGTAGTTCAGAGTGAAAAATAAGTGTTTGTTGGTTGATTTTATACCTTAAAAAAAAGGTTTTAAGAGTGTCTCTCTAAGGAAAAAGAGGAGTTTGGTGAGTTGATTTTGTTTTTTAAGATTTTTGGAAAAAATTGTTTTTTTATTAGGATTGTACTAAAGATTATGGATAAAGGTGAATAATTTATACTACCAAGCCAAACGTTTTGTGTCAAAATACTCGGAGTAAGGGCATGAAAGTTTCATTCTCACTGCTTCTCCACCACTTAAGGCTCGTGACACGCAATCCTAATTGTATTTTTATCGTGTTCTTAAGTTTATTGAAAAAAGGTCACTTAACGTTTGATCAAGGGTTTTATTGTGAATACGCTGCTTGATGTTGGATCAAGGGCTTTTTAAAAAATGGTGTAAGGAAAAGATTGATGACGACCATGAATGAATCGACTTACAAGTTGGGCATGACTGAAGATTTTACTGAGAAAGACAATTGTCAAAGTCACATCAAATAAAATGTCCAAGAATGAAAAAACGTGATCCGACAATCAACATGCATTTATACATATTGTCTTTGAAATTTTTGATTTTTCAACACTAGAAACAATGAATTTTTTTATAAAATACAAATACTCATGCATAATAATGTTATATCTCCTAATACAATAAATATTATTTTTAAAAGATTTGGTTTTGTCACCTAAAAAAGAACAATAAAATTGCTTATTATATGTTTGCCTGATATTTTTATACAATCTTGATTATATGTATTTTTTTCATTATATGACTATAGGAAGTTTCTCATAGTTGATTAATTTGAAAGCAACATTTATCACCTTCAAGTTATTACATGATTCCAAAGTAAAAACAAATTGATATAGTTTTTATCATGTAAAGTACATAAGGATCTGACCAAATTGATATGTAACACAATGGTTAAAAAAAAGAGCTCTATCAATTTTAATGAATACAATTAATTATTTTAAAAACTGTGTACATATTGAATTGAAGAATGCTGTGTTTACATCAAATTTAACAACCACAATTTATTTGAGCTATGCTATTCCTACATCTATCTTTTATACCACATACTCCTACATCTATCTTTTATACCACATACTCACATCAAACATTGGTAATACGGTAAATAGTATTTCAGAAATGATACTTTTACACTAAAAATGACACTTACACCGTAGTTGTATACGATTTTGTTTTTTAATAATCTTTAATAATTATATTTTGCTTTTCCTTTACACCCACCAATTCTTGCACATGCTGTATTTTCTACGGTGTAGGTGTAATATGTCTAATTTTTGGTGTAGAAATAGCACCCCTCATAGTATTTTTATCTTTTTAATAAATAAAAAATAATATTTATAATACGTGAACAATGCGTGAACAGTGTGTGAAGAGTGTCTTTAAAATAGTGAAATAAATTTAGTTAATGAAATCTAAAAAGTTGGTTACTAAAAATAATTTTTTAACAATAAATTAAAATTGGTTAATAAAATGTAAAAAGTTGGTTAATGAAGTTATGAAATTGATTAATACGTGTTAAAATATTAAGAATAATTTTTAATAGTTAATATAATATATAAAATTAGTTAATAAAATTATCAACTTGATTTTATAATTTTATGTCAATATCATTTAATTTAAAAATTAAAATAATAATTTTAATAAAAAATTATTATTATAATATTTTACTGTTTACTACATAGATAAACAGTGTAATACAGTTCAAGTGTATAATTTTAATGTAAGAATAACATTTTCCCCTGTATTTATATATTATACAATCCATTCTTTCCCTTATTTTATTATTGTCATGTGCATTGGAATTTGAGTCACTCTAAAAATAATGCTTCAAGGCTACGGTGTAACATAGCTAAAGTGTATAATTTGGGGTAGAGAAATGATATTATGACACCATTTTATACATCTACACCGTACCTTTATATCATAAATACATACATATTATTTTTTTAATAGTTTTTTATTGAATTTTGGTTTTTGTGCCAGGCTAAAACTATAGCCATATACGGTGTACATTTGCATGGTGTAAAAAAAGGGTGTCATGATAGCATACCTCTTTGGGGTAAGCCTAGCATTTCTCTTTTTATTTTTGTTAGCATAAATTCCAATTTTTATAAAAATAATAAATAAGAAAAAAAAAGTATATTATACCGTATGAATATACGGTATAGGTGTTAAAATCATTGCAAGCATATAATTTCTCAATTAAATTATTGTTTTGGTAGCCTAGGATATGAAATAAACGAGTCAGTACTAGCAGTTAATTCTTTGAAATTTGAGTAGATAAGGTTAACAGACCATATAGTACTACTGCTGGTGGATATAGTAATAGTAAAAGGAAAATGACAACATTTTAATTTCTAGTAAAAGAATACTTGAAAATAAATAATTTGTTCTCGTATTTTTTCTCTTATAATTATCTGATTGAGAAGTAAGAAAGAGGTAAAGAAAAGAAGAAAGGAAATGGAAAGGATTGTATGGATCCTCATCTCTCTCTCACTGTCTCTTCTCGCTACTCTCGTTAGATCTGATTCCTCCGATCACCGTTACACCGACGGTGATTCCGTTCCTCTCTACGCCAACAAAGTCGGTCCGTTTCACAATCCCAGGTTCGCTCCTTCATTTCTCCGATCTGCTTCCATTTTCCGTGTCGCCGTCAAAATCTGATCCTCTTTTCTTCAATTTCATCTTCCACGTTAACGTCACCATGATTATACTGATCTACGCTGTTTTAATTTCTTATATTTTTTTCTTCTGATTTATCGTTTTTTGATTTCAGTGAAACGTATCGGTACCTTGACCTTCCATTTTGTGTTACAGGTTATAATCTTATTCAGCTTTTCTTATTCATTATCGCTTCATTTAAACTTCATTATTATTAGTTTATTTTTTGGTTACTCAAACTTAGAATTTCTATCTATCTATGAATTATGATTATGAATATCCTAAAATGAGTGTATTGGAATGTTAGGTAAGGAGAAAGAGAAGACGGAAGCGCTTGGCGAGGTGTTGAATGGAGATCGGCTTGTTAGTGCTCCGTATGAGCTTCATTTTAAGAAGGAGAAAGACTCTAATGTTGTGTGCAAGAAGAAGCTTACAAGGGAGGAAGTTGCTCAGTTCCGTGAAGCGGTTAAGAAGGATTATTATTTCCAAATGTATTATGATGACTTGCCTATTTGGGGATTTATTGGTACCGTTGATAAAGAAGGAAAAAGTGACCCTAGCGAGTATAAGTATTTTCTTTATAAGCATATTCAGTTTGATGTTTTGTATAATAAGGATCGTGTGATTGAAATTAGTGCTCGTATGGATCCTCATTCTGTGGTGGATGTGACGGAGGACAAGGAAGTTGATGTTGAGTTTATGTATACTGTGAAATGGAAGGAAACGGAAATTCCTTTTGAGAAGAGAATGGAAAAATATTCACAATCTTCTTCGCTCCCGCATCACTTGGAGATTCACTGGTTCTCCATTATAAACTCGTGTGTAACAGTTCTTCTTTTGACTGGATTCCTGGCAACCATTCTTATGCGTGTCTTGAAGAATGATTTTATGAAGTATGACTTTCTTGCTCATCAATCACCAGATTGTCATCCTATTGCCGATATATAACATTGGTTTATTAATCCGTTTTTTCTGCTTCAATTTTTTCCAGATATGCTCAAGACGAGGAAGCTGCTGATGATCAAGAGGAGACGGGATGGAAGTATATTCATGGTGATGTTTTCCGGTTTCCTAAGTACAAGTCCATATTCGCAGCTGCCCTTGGTTCTGGCACTCAGTTATTCACTCTGTAAGAATCTTCTGATGGGTTTTATTCCCTTCTTTGTTGAAGCTTTGTTTTTATTAAAAGTTATAAAATTAAGTACATATAATTTTCTATTTGTTTTTTCTTGTGTAGCACAATCTTCATTTTTATGCTTGCACTGGTTGGTGTATTTTATCCCTACAACCGAGGAGCTTTATTTACTGCACTGGTGGTTATATATGCTCTTACATCTGGCATTGCTGGCTATACTGCTACTTCCTTCTATATTCAACTTGAAGGGACTAATTGGGTATATATGAATTGCTTGCATTGATTATTGCACTGTTTGATTGTATTAGTTAATTTAATTCTTGTGAAATAGAATTAGAGTTATAATTATATTTACACGCTTATTATTCTTGTATGACAGGTTAGAAACTTGTTGCTGACAGGATGCCTCTTCTGTGGCCCTCTTTTTCTTATGTTCTGCTTCCTTAACACAGTTGCAATAGCTTATAGTGCAACTGCTGCCCTTCCTTTTGGCACAATTTGTGTGATAGTCCTAATATGGACGCTTGTAACTTCGCCATTACTTGTGTTGGGTGGCATTGCTGGTAAAAATAGTAAAACAGAGTTCCAAGCACCTGTCCGCACTACAAAATATCCCCGAGAAATTCCACCTCTGCCTTGGTACCGAAGCACCCTTCCACAGATGGCAATGGCCGGATTTCTCCCTTTCAGTGCCATCTACATAGAGTTGTACTACATTTTTGCTAGTGTGTGGGGCCATAGGATTTATACTATCTACAGCATACTCTTCATCGTCTTTATTATTCTGTTGATTGTCACTGCTTTCATTACGGTGGCTTTGACATACTTTCAACTTGCTGCGGAAGATCATGAATGGTGGTGGAGGTATGTAACTTATCTTTTGGAAAATGCTTTATTGTACGAACTTGTATCAAGCACTAAGGATGTGGTGATTTTTAGTAAAACCGAAATTTACTTTTTCGATTTTGATTTTGATTTCTTTTTTTGACATCAATAAAGTCAGTCACATATTTTTTCGTGTGTTTTATGTGGTTTGCTATTTGTACCGCATAGCACCGCTTCTCATCTTATTGGTAACTTCCACCGTTGTTGTTTTTGAGAGTTTCTTTAGTTTGTATGATACGATTTTTTTTTTACTTATCATCTGTGCCTGCAGTTTCATTAGTTTTCCATATTGTCAGTTCTTGGGTTAAACGAAATTATCTATGAATCTATGCATAGGAAAAGGGGGTCAAACTAGAAGCCTATTATGATATTTTCACTACAAACGTAGAAAACAAGATTTCAAGAAATAAATCTTCTATCTTCAGATTTTGTTTAAAACATTCCATATAAAAGCTGGACTATATCCAGGTTCACATATTTTCTAAATAAAACATCAAAAAGCTTAGGAGTAAGATCATAAATGTAAATATGAAATCATAATGAGTTGTACTAGTAATAATTGCTGTTCATTTTCTTTCTTAAATTTTCCCTGCTGTCCTCTATCTTCTCATCTAGTTGATTAATTTGACTCCCTCAACATCGAGAAACACACATGTTGAATGAACCTAAATAATCAGATTTGTGCAATTTATGTTTCATTCCTTAGTCCCACTAAGTAGGGCATATGTTCAGGGAGATGCTAATTCTAGATTGACATGAACTCTAAAGCATGGCTACATGTAAAACTATGAAGTACCCGTAACCGATACGAGTATATGGTTACTCGTTGGTAATTGGTACATCCTTTTTCCTCATTACTAGGTTGCAAGTGAAATTTGTGGCTTGTCATATATTAGTATAATAACATATAAATAATATAATACTATTTGTGTGTTTGAGTTTCTCTGTTGTTCTAACAAAAAAAAAGTTTTTGACTTTTTAATCTTTTATTGTGATGTTTTTTTATTAATTGAACAATTTAGCTCTCATGTTTTTGATGTACCCGTCATTTGATTTTTCTTCAAAATGACGTATCTTGTACCGAGTATTTGTGCATTGTAGAAGATGCTACAATAATACATTTATATTGTTTTGGTAATGTATATTTTGATGTTATAAAAACCAAACCAGAGATCAACCTAGTTTCATTGGAATACCATTCAACTGGTCTGATTTATAGAACATTGGTATATCTAACCAGATTTTATGGATATTTGTGTTAAGAATCCCATATTTCACAATATATGGTGTGTTGGAATTTCCGCTTTAATTGCAGTCCGCTCCTGGTTGCCTTAATTGCGACATTTGCCTTGCCTTCATTGCAGTCTCCAACACCTTCATTGTGCTGGGTTTGAAGGGGTGAATTTAGTCCAACATTGCCTAGAGATATGGCCAACCCTGACCTTACAAACCGGTTTTGTAGGGATGAGTTAAGGCCAATCCAAATTCTGAGATGGTATCAAAGTCTCGTTTAAGATCCGACGGAACACCTGCTATCAGGTTTCCGCTATCGGGCTAAGAATTTGTTTATAAAACAATAAATCATAATAAAAATATGTGAAGTATTTTTGCATAGTGTTTTGGTAGGCAAGTGTATTTGTGGAAAAATGACCCCATTTTTTATATTTTTTATATTCTTTAGACATGTATGGTTGAATTTTTACATTTCATTACTATTTATCACAATAAACCTTTGTTAGAAATTAGCGACATATTTGGCCTATTACTTGGTTTATCATAAGTCCATTATTTAAAACAAAGCTTACATCTGAGATGTTTATTCTCTAAACCCTATGTAAAAAACTTCATCATTTTAAAGGTATGCATTCACCGCCGCCGAAGCATAACTGTTACGCTTTTGCATATTGTCATCCTCATCCTTCATCTCTTCTTGCTTGTTTCTTCTCTCGGCTTGTAATGGTGGTGGCTAGGATCACAAAGAATTAATGATGTCACGATTTTTATCACAATTTAGTTACGATTTTGTAGCGATTTTACTCGATCTTGATACAATGCATGGTTCTACTTAAGATCTGCATTTGCAAAATCGTAAGATTTTAAGATCTAGAGCAAGATCTTGAGCTTAGCATAAGGTTGGGCCATGACACAAACCCAAACCTCAGTCCAAATCCAAACCTAACTCATTTTGAGCTTAGTATAAGGTTGGGCCATGATACAAACCCATGGGCTAATCCAAAAATTTCCAATCCCCAAAGTGAATTTGGTTAAGAGAAATACCTAGGGCCAATGAATACAAAAGAAAAACATGGGACACTTGAAGGCTTGGCCTAACACTCGGGGTTTAAGTTGGTTTATTTGTCGGGGTTTTTAACCTGCCACAGGATTGGTCTTACACTTGGGGTCTGATCTTAGACTTCATTGACCCAAAATTTAAGTACCAGCCTATGCCAGCCAACATGGACCAAGGACTGGTCCTGCTCATATATTGAAATGTATTGTTAGAGTTAATCTTAGCATTTCTAAACTAACAGTTTTTTTCTTCATGAGATGTGAAAAGGCTTAGCCAAGTTTATTATTACTATTTACTTATTAATTTTTTCTTTTATATTACCAAGTGATGGTCTAAGTCTTTTAAAAGTAGATGCTTTACATACACTATAGTCTGTACATTTAGTTTCGTCGTGCTGACATGGGTGTTTTCCTCCTGATATTGATGTTGTTTTTGTTTTTCCATAGGTCTTTTCTTTGTGGTGGATCAACCGGCTTATTCATCTATGGCTACTGCTTGTATTATTACTATGCACGGTCAGATATGTCTGGATTTATGCAAACTTCGTTCTTCTTCGGTTACATGTCCTGCATCTGCTATGGCTTCTTTCTCATGCTTGGTAGCATAGGTTTTCGGGCTTCCCTGCTCTTTGTCCGCCACATATACAGGTCCATCAAGTGTGAGTAGTCGTGGTTGAACGTTATGGTAAGTTTACATTATTGGTGTTGGGTAATGAGGAGAGGTCTGAATTTGTTTTCCTTTTTTCCTGTCATAAGGTAGATTATATAGTGTACCTGATAACAAGAGAAGCTTTGACTCTTCTGAATTAGTGTCATGTTATCTCTGTTGTTTAATTTGCACAGGCTTGACACTTGAGGGAGATTTTTGAACCATGGGATTTAAATGTTTTATTACTGTAGTTACTGAAATTTATTTGATGTAGATTGTACTAATTAATATTTCTATCTCTATCTGCTTTATGATATTTACCATTCAAAATCTAATACGTTTTCTAGTTAGCAAATGCATGAAAAAAAATAAAAAAAAAGAAAGAAAGGATTGAATATGGTTGTTATTGAATTCATAAAAAGTAGACTTAATTGTTATTGAATGCATAAAAAGTAGACTTATTGTTTTCAACATTTTTTTAGAAATAAAAATGTGAGCTTTTTATTAGGGCATGTTTGGAACATTAAAGATGAAATTTGATCTTTGTAAAATGCTAAAATCACTTGTTACTAATGTATTGAATATTGTTACAACAGTATCATCATAAAAAGTTTATTTATTTTTTGCTATTAATGTATTGAATATTGTTACTATATTTTTAATACAGGAGTTTTAGTATATCTTATACTTGGAACAAAATCAAAATTATTATACCAGAGTCATTTGATTTCTCGTTTGGATTGGCGAATCAGTTATAAGAAATTGTTCAATAACAACAGCAACTTTGAGCAGTTATAAGAAATTGTTCAATAACAACAGCAACTTTGAGCAATTTTTTTTTTGTCTAATAGTCTAGTGGCCAGATTGTCACCCTGATGGATAAGTGGGACGTCATGTCGTTCTTAAAAATGGATTAGTGTGTGATGCTGCGGTTTGAATTCGCGACTTTGGAATGGAATGTCCTTGTATAACTAATCGGGTTTGAATTTGCGACTTTGGAATTGGATGTCCTTGTATAACTAAAGTGAGCTATCTTAACTTAACATATGAACAATTTTATTTCTAAAAATTTTACTCTAATTTCCTTAGCATGGCCAGAGTGGCTCAGATAAGATGAGTTAATTACATTGATGTATAGGCTTTTTTTTGGTGTATAATAATCAATGTAGTGAGATTTATACTCACGTGCATCTTATCCAATCTACTCTAAAACCCTAGTGGCATCCATTTTCTTCGGTTAGTAGAATTGTTTACACAAGTATTATTTGAAAATTTTAAGGAAAATGAAAAGTTTTCATTTGTTTCAATTTAAACATTCACATATAGGAATTAGAATTAGGGGTGGCAAAATAGACTATATGTTCCGTCCCGCTTTAAGTCTGTAAAAAAATGAGTGGAGTAGATAAGTCCGTCACACTTTAAGTCAATATAAAAATGAGTGGAGTAGACAAAACCGCCAAGTAAAATTGAACTTAAAAGTCTAACCTGCACTGTCAAGGTGGCACGGGTTGGTGAGTGTTTTTTTTTTAATTTTTTAATAAATTAATAGGCTTATTTTTATATTTTAATTAGATTTTTTTATTTATTCTTTAGAATAATTTTTTACATAGTATTTTTTAAATAAATTTTATTTAAAAGATATTGCATATTCACAAATAAAGTATAAAATAGAATCATCAACAAATAATCTAAAATTATAATTCAAATATTAACTTTCAACTAACAAAAATAAATATTTTGAGTGCTTGATAATTAGGTTGACGGACTGGTGGGTCAATCTGCTTTTTTTTTGGCAGACTTAAGGTGGGACAACTTAAAGCAGGGCAAGTAGACAGACACAAAATCTCAATCTAACCTGCCATATTTTGGAGGATGCGTGAGGTAGCTCGACGGGCTACAACATGTTTTGCTACCTATAATTAGAACATGTGGTTAACACCAGGAGGGTAACATGCCAACAAAAAAACTTTTGACAGTTTGATGCAGGAAGTTAATGCATAATTTATTTTTTATTAACAAGATGGTAATTAATAATTTCCGCCATCCCACGTTGTTTGTCGACTTCTTACGCATTATGCAAAAATATCAAAATATCCGTCCGATTTCGGAGATACATCTTCGGATGCACCATGCCCCAACATTACATCTTATCAACTGAATGTCATTCTAGATGAATGTTAAAAAAATTCGAAGATGCATCTCCGAACATTTTCAAAAAATATCATTAAAATTAATAAGCCCAGTGGTTATTCTGGAGATGCATCTTTGAAAATTTGGGATGAGATTTTGAAATTTGTTGTCAATTTTGCATGTCAGATACTTCTGAAGACGCATCTTCAAAATAATATGATAAAACACATACCTGCATGATCATACTCCCATACTTGTTTTTCACTCAAAACCCTCAGTAAAACCCTTCCATTCTCAATCCATATTTTCACTCCAAATCCTCAATCTTGGTTTTATCATTTATTTTAATCCTTATTGCTCACATTAATTCTGTTTTTTGTTTGAAAAAACGAGCATTTTTTCGAAAATGCATTTGGGGAACGAGTATGAACTACTCAAAAATGCATTTCCAGTATCTGGTTATGTTCATTTTTTCAGTTCTATTTTCAACATTAGCACTTATTTACTGTTACGTGGTAATTGTTTTTATTAGATATATTGCATTCCAATGTTTTCCTTAATCAAGTTGTATCTTTCAGTGTTAAAGGTGTTTACTGTGAAGGCGGTAGATGTTGACAAGCAATTTAAAAATGAACAAGAGTTTGAATTTTGTGATCACATGTTTCAATGTATTCGTACAAATGCCTCAAAACTGTGATTTAGTGTGGTTATTGAAATGTTCGATAATGGTTCGAATATAAGATGTGTTTTGTGATAATGACGTGCGAAAGAAGCTGGAAATATAAACCTCCTTTATGGAATTTTAAATGAGACGACACCGGTCAAGAAAACGTCTGTGTCCCTTTAAGGTGTGTGGTTATATGCTGGTAAACAAAAACTGAAGATTAAATAGGGGCAGTTGTCGTACCCTAAATTTTGACGAATAGTTAACACTCATTTGATCACCGCAATAACGTAAAAAGTCAAAGAAAGAGTATTTTGACTTTTTAACCTAGTTGGGATGTTTTATAATTTACACCTTAATTATCATTGTCTGAGCATAACAAATTAGAGTTTATTATAAGTTCCTACCAACTTTACTACTTGGTTATCATTAGTCGTTATACTATTTAGACTAGTAGTTGGGCCCATATTAAAATTAGTCATCTTGGTATATATATATATATATATATATATATATATATATATATATATATATATATATATATATATATATATATATATATATATATATATATATATATATATATATATATATGTGGGGTGTATGATAAAGTTAGTATCATTTGATTTATTAAGGTTATTTTAGGGCTATTTCTAAACACTAGATATGATTTTTGTTATTAATATTAGAAGGGTCGAAAAATTATTAACTAAATAATTAAGAAAAAAAAGTTTAATTAAATCAAATATGGTTAACTAAAGGGTGGATTAATGTTAATTAACTGGGATTAATGTAAGTGGGGGCGCGTGATCGTGTGTACGCGGGTGTATGGATAATGGTGGTCAAGCGCGATACTGGCTATGTGATGGGATCCGTTGGAGATCCGAGGGTTGTGGCGTGAGGGTGCATTGCAATTAGTGTGTGTATGCTATTAGGTGATTACAACAGCATAATGAAAAAAATTAAATCCCTAATTCCCAAATTCCCTTCCCCGTAACGTCGCCGGTTGCTCTTCTTCCTCTCCGATTCTCCTTTCTCTCAATCTCTTTTCATCTCCTTTTTTCCTTCCATTCTTTCTCTTTTTCGCCTTCTTCTTTCAATCCCTACATAAACAAACAACAAACAAACACCGGATTAAAGTTAGCAGAAATAATCTCACATTTGATGGGTTTCGCAGGTTTCGGCGGCGAGTGGTGAGGGGGCTTCGACGGATGAAGTTGAAGGTGGGTGCGAATGAAGATAGGGGTTTGGATTATGGTGATCTCTGATGAAGGTTTCCGGCGATGGCTGAAGGCGACGCCGATGGAAAAAGGTAAGTTTTTCTTAGGGTTTTAATTTTAGGGCGTATGGGGTTTTCTGTGTGAACTGTTGTGTATTTCGTTACGGTTTGGGTTTCTGAGAATGGCCCCCCTAATTGATCTCAAACTCTTCTCCCTTTATAGTCAACCTTGGATTTCGAAATGAATACCGTTATGAATACCTTCTTAATTTGTCTAAACATGTTGGAAATTTGTTTTGGATGGAAGTTAAATGTTGTTTGATTGTGCTGATAAATGTTTTGATTCACTCTCTGGAACTCTTTCCCAATTCATCTTGATATGTCGTATAATTGTTTTCAAAGCCCTTCCCTTTTGGATTCAAAATGTGATTACGTGTAATTCTCTGTCTCAAACTTGCCATAAATGGTAAATGACGTTTAAACATTGTCCTTGTTGCAAAGCAGACGAAAATGATTGTGTTTGGGACACGTTATTTATGATTCTTGTTCCCTGTAATGAGTGCTTTGCTTGTCTTGACATAGCTTATGGATTAGACTGATTATTAATGGTTTTCTAATTGAAGAAGTTCCATTCCTTGTATGTTCATAACCGATTATCATTTTGAAAGTGCAGGTGTAGATTGGACGATGAGCTATGCGACTGGATTTGGCGATGGACAATTAAGATGTGGGTAGTGCAACTGAGACACAGGTCGCTCAAGATTTCACTTTGTTCTGTGGTAATACATTCTTGCGGAAGGTAAAGGTCTGCGTTACTGTGATTAAATACAGTGTCTTGCTTCTTGAAAAAATCTAATACCCTGTACTTGATATGTAGGACCTGTCACTACAAGTCTAAGCTTGCTTGTCTTGATCGTAATCTCGTAACAACCTTCTTGTCCTGCGTTTACAACCGGAATTGAAGGAAGGTGTTCTGCTTTTGACGAAATGCGAGGTATATGTGAC